AGAATTAAAACTCAGGGAAATTGACAAATTATTTGCTATACAGTTTCGAACTCAAGAGTAGAACTACAGTATCTTCACAGTTCTGTAGAGATGAGAAGCTTCTTTTTCCATGTGAGGCAGCAGCCTTCAGAAATAAATTTACTTTCACCAGCAAACACAGTAGCACGCAGGGCAAAGTACAAAGCAATATGCAACTAGGAGATAGTTTCAACTAGCTTGCTGGTCACAACTACTTCCTGTCTAATGATTTAATGAACTGCTTTGAGTCTTAAGCGTTGTTTCCAAGATAAGTTGTACTGCCTGAGCTCAGGCATTTTGTTTCAGGTTAAGTGCTGTTTGGCTTTTTGTTTGTTAGTTTTGTAATTTCTCATAAACAAATACTTAAGACTTTCTTGTCCTCATATTTTGTTATGCATGTTAAGAAGCAGTCTGAGCCCTATAAAAACTTTTAACTGCTGTGATGTGAATGAGGAATTGAGCCTCTGGACATATAGAAGGTCCATCAGAAAACCAATACTTAAACTTGAATTTCACGAGTGCTTACAACCTGGCTCATGAAGTTACTTCTCCCTATCATTGCTAATCTTCATATTTCTCCTACTGTTCTACATCGATGCTTTACTCACAGTGGCCTACAAAGCAGAACACCATCAGTTGAGTTAGTGCTATCAAAAGATACCTTTCTGATTGCGACAGTGTAACACAATAGAAAGGGCAGCAATAAGAACATAGTAGCAAAGTCCTGGGCTACAGCAAGAAAAAGCATGCTAAAATATAGCAGCTACAGACACAGAAGCAAAGCAACAAACCTACTTACCTTTGGAAGGCCTCAGGCACACAGGGAGCTCCAACAAAGCAGGATTGCCTTCACTGCCTGCCCTTAAATGAGGTCTGGAAGGAGTGGCTCCTGGCTCCACCCTTTCTGGTCACACAGATGCACTGCATGCACCTGAGCTCTCCTGGGTTGGCCCTGCCTTCCCACCAGGTGCTCAGTTACTGCTTCAAGCCATGATTTAGCATTTCTGCTATGCTGATGTATGTGGCTGTTTTAAATACTGCCAGCATTTAGATGCAGCTCTGAAAAAGTTTTAGAAGTAATCTTCCCTTGCGTGTGTAGCTGGTATATATAAGGAACTCTTTTCTTGGTAGATATAGGGAGAATTCTTAGAAAGCTGATGCAAACAAGCTTGTGTTTGAATTGTGATTCTTGTAATAAAGAAAAGGGAGCAATTAATGTGGTAATACACATCATTTACATTTCAAAGGGTATTTCATGTGATCAAGCCTTACTCATGCTAGCAGTGTTAAGTTTTATGCTGAAATATTTGTGTATATGTAATTTTTTAAAATAGATATTGTAGGATCATATAGTTGTGGGGTTAGCACTCTGTTTTATGATTTTCAAGTTAAGTAAAAAACAAAAGTCTTGTGAAAGGGCCTGATTGTGTGACATTTCCAATGTCAGAAAAATATACCTCCCTTGCTTGGAAGCTTAAGCTTATGTTGCTTAAGATGTGGAAGTTAGAGTTGCTCTATCTCCAACATACTGCTGTTAATGTCTTTTCTGTCTGTAACCTGCAGTTGAGAGCTGGCAAGGTGTTTGTCTTGCTTTGATACATGAAATTCAGAAAAAATCCTCCCCTCCAAAAAAGAAAAGAAAAAAAAAAAAAAGTCAACAATGAAACAGTAATGGAACAAAAAACAAAAACAGGTCAAATTCTTAATAATGTTTTCTTTATTGTGTGACTGAAATAAAAACTATGGGAGAAACATCAAGTAAAATTGACTTCCCACTTAGTTATAATGGTCAGGGAGAGTCATATATTTTTCAGATATATTTAGATATTTTAGCAACAATATTGAGGGCTTCTACTGGAAATCCAGGGACAAGTAATAACGTACTGGCAAAACTTGAACTCTTCTAACTGCATGCAGAAAATACAAACTAAGATTATTAAATGTCTTCTATGTGGTATCAGCAATTGGTAGTAGGAAAAGTTAAAGGCTATTTTGAGAAGATTCCTTGACTGCTTGGCATTAGAAAAATTAGTTATGTGTTACCCAAATCAGTGTTTTATCTAGTCATAGGAACAAGCTGTAGTTTTGTTTGAAAAAGCTTGAGGAAACAGCTGATGTTAATTGGGTTAATTAAAGCTTATTGCAACTTAGTTTTGAATCTGTTCAGGAAACTTTGTGGTTTATAGTGTTTTCAGTGAGAACAACTATTTTCTCTAAGACGATGAAGATGGTTTTCCAGACCTTGTAGTGCCAAAGTACGAGTTCTCCTATGTCCACAGGCATTTGTTCCAGTGGGTGAAGAAGGATAGGAAGTTGCTGCCTTGGAAATTATGCCAATTCACTGTTTGTGGGCTGTGTAGTAAATCAAGATTATTTCTGTAAGTTAAAATAGTAATAATAATAAAAAATTCACCAATGATTCCAAAGTGGGGGAGAGAGGGAGAACCTGAAAGAACGCTTTTCTTTAGATTGCTTGTGTCATAGGGGCAGATGTGGTTCAGAAATCCTGCTGGATTTGGACATTACCTGTGTATTGGGAAACATCCCAGCTCTGTCTCCCTTGGGAAGTGCATATGACAGAGAACTACACCTCAAAAAATAGAATATCACAATTAAGAGACAGAGAAGAAGCTGCTCAGGTGAATAGCCATACTATCTGTAGGAAACCTTGGAGGATTAAAGACATGTTTTTCTATATTTATTTCCCCTTCTGTTGAAATGGACACTTGTCGTTTCTTGATAGTTTTCTTTGTTAACAAATATTTGAGCAACTTGTAGTATATTTAAGAAATCTAAGATTTCACAGTGTTGGTTATCTGCTTGACTCAGAAAAGCTATTTCCAATTACAAACACCATGCCATTGAATTCCTGAACTTCTTCAGGCTGAACTTTTGATTTGGGACAAAATCAAACTTGGCAAAAAATAAAAAATAAAAATCAGCAATGTCTGCTTATGCTGCTTAGGTACTGTGTTCTACAGTTGTAGGGTTTTCTTTTAATTACTTTTTTTTTTATTTAATTAAGCTTTAATATTTTATTACTGATGTCATAACTGTCTCTGCTGAGTCTGTTCTCAGGGCTGCTTTCCTAATGCTGATGATGAACAAACAGCAATAAAATTCAGCTGCAGTTAGAAGCAAATATAGCATTCAACCTTGAATTGTGGAAGGAATTGTAAAATCACTTGAATAGACACTAAAATTGTGTATCTAAACAAGTATCCAAATGATCGATAGTGCTCTGTCAATAGACTCAGAAAGTGCTTATCTCTGGAAAGGTGCCTTTCCCTTGTTACAAAGAAGGAAAAGAGCTATTTTTATTTTTGCTTGTCAACATGTATATCTCAGGTGTTAAATCATCCTGATCTTTTCCTAGGTCTGAAAAGGACAAAGATGCAAACAGTGGCTACAATTTGTGCCATGAATAGAGCTGACCATCAAGCACACAGCAAAAAATTTAAAACTGGTTATTTCCAGAGTTGCAACTTCCAGTGCACTCTGTCAAGTATGCAAATGGAACCAGTCTACTGTTTTTAAGGACATATTTTTCTGTGCATTTTCTTTACCATAAAAGAAGATGGGGGAAGGGGGAGCTGATGGGGTCCTAAACAAGGAGGTGGCAAACTGGTGTGCTGAGTCTAGCTCACAACAGCTGTAGCCAGTGGCTAATGATGATATTTCTGAAAAAATTGCTGGTACCAGATGAACAAATCATTCAAGAATGTGTATGGCTTTATAATTGTTGTCTCTTTAAAATGAGTAAGAGCAAGTAAATAAATAATTTAGATCAGAATAATTTAGAGTAATGTAACTGGAACTAATGGGAAGATGTAATTGCCCCTGCCTTGATATAAGAATGCAATTTATGATTCTATAATTCTACTTATGCTGCCATGGCAGCGGAAAAGTCCACTTACAGATGCCATGGTCTGAATACCTGAGCTGGCTTACCAAGATGTAAACTCAACCTGGAGTTGAGATGTGTAGAATAAAGGAATGCGAGCACAACTTTGAGGCTTTGTGGAGGGAAGAGGTAAAAGGGTGAGTGTAAGAGTGGTGTCCCTGTGAGCTCAGTGCTAATTAATGAAGGCACATGAAGGCTGTGAACATTTGTAAGAGCCTGCACGAATGCTATAGTGGCAGCTTCCGTAGGGCCACGTGGCACCATGTGTTGCATCCTGCCCCACTGTTACACTGTGCAGCTTCAACCCAGCTCTGCCAACAAATGCTGCTCCTCTGGTGTGGGTAGCCTCTTGTGCAGAATAGCTGTCCCCACAGATCTCCTTGGCCTTTGTGCTGTGCTCTGGCAGTGAAGGTCCACCAGAGATGCACTTCAACCAGCCCTTGTGAGAAGCTCTGGGCAGCCCCAGCAGCACAGTGCAGCACCTGGTATTTGGGAGCCCCTGCAGTGCCCACCTCATGTGAAGCAAGTTGGATGAAGGCAGTCCACCAGCCTCAGGGGCTGCTAAGCCCAGTGCTGTGCTCAAAATCATCCCTGTCTCCATCTTGCCTCCCACTGGGTCTTGGCAGTGGGCTTCCAAGGGTAATGCACTGGGGAGCACTACAGTTGTCAGCTGGGCTTACAAAACCATCCTTTTATAGCTTGCAACATCATTAGAGCACGGCTGAGGTTGGAAGGGACCTCCAGCTCCCTCTGGTCCAACCCGGCTCCAGCCAGGGCACCAGAGTGCATGTCCAAGGGGGAGATTCCACAGCCTCTCGGCACACTGTGCCAGTGCCCCATCGCCGCACTAATGCTTCTGCACTCGATGCTGATGCTGACTAACTTCACAAATTTGCCGCAGGAGCACACAAGAAACGCCTCCTCCATTCTCCAACACCAAACCGAGGGCGCCCAGCCGTGCTGCGCGCCGTCTCACCCAGCACCGCCCCGGGCCGCCTTCGCGCAGTCGCCGTGCGGGCAGGGCGCGTCCCGCCGCCGGTAGGCTGGGCCGTGCCGGGCGGCAGCGGGACTGCCAGCGCGGAGGAGGTGCGGGGTATGGCTCCGCCGGCGACGAGCGGGATCCCGCCGGTTGCTCCCTCGCTGGGCCCGACGGCCGTCTGGCTGGGGAACCGCTCCGATCTCGGTGGGTGAAACGTCCAGCCGGGACCCTTCTGCTTTCCCGGGCGCTTTCACCGACCCTGCCGCCTCTCCCCGGGGGTCGGTCCGCTCTCCGCGACGGGAGCCGGTGGGGCGGGGTCCGTTCGGGGTCGGGCCGGGACTGCGGAGGGCTGCAGCGGCGCGGGCAGAGGGGCGGCCCCCTCCTCGCTGTGCCCCCGCTCGACTCCTGCGCTGCCCGGGCCGAGCGGGCGGGAGGCAACGGGGGCTCCGCCTGTCCCCGGTTCGGAGCTCGCGGCCCCGCGGGGCGGCGCACGGCGCGGTGCTGCCCGCTGTGCCGGAGCGCGGAGCTCTTGCTGCCGTGTGGCGTTCGGTCTGGCTTGGCCGCGGATTGGGTTAATGGAAAGCTATACGGTATGCAGTACAAGTTCTCGTAACCGTTCTGTAGTCACCTTTATTTTGAGCCGGAGTGGGCGAGTGACTAACAAAGTATAAACGATTCGAGGAACTGCTTCTGCTTGGCTGTCCAGCGTGAGGTTGAACTTGCCTTTGTGTTTAGGTTTTAGAAACTCGATTTGCTGTAACCCTTTAGTGCTCTGAATGCTGCTCACATACGGAGGAAGTTGCTCCTCAATGACAGTTTCTGTGTTTATGCCTAACCCCAGACGTTGCGATACTGGTAATCTCAAAGCTGAGTGTCTCCTGCTGCCTGTGTTGTCTGAAGTGCGAACTGTTAAATGTAAACTCACTGGAAGACATTCCTTGGCTGCTGGCTGTGTCTGTGGGTGCCTCGCACCGGCAGTACGTTACTATGTGGCAGAGCATGGCTGAGGGCGTATGGCTCATGTGAGAGCAGGCAGAGGCAGCAGTTAGTATGGCCATGATTACTGGAATGAAATTAGGCATGAAATGCTTTGAATCTTCGTATACGCCCTTTGTCAATCTGTAATTAATGCTTAGCACATGTCAGCTTGGTCCAAAAGGGTTTGAGGTGTCCACCACCTGCTGTTTTGCTCTGAAAATAAGAGGTGTGGAAGCCTTGTCATCTAGTTCATTCCTTCAGGAGAGCAGAAAGAAGTAAGTACCAGTAGACATGGCTGAGACCTGTAGAACAGTGCTAAATATGTCGGCATTGTCAGACTTCTTCTTCCCAACTTCGAAGAGTTTCAGTGAAAGAACAGCCAGCCTGGAGTTCAGATCTGTGTTGACCATTAATTGGCTTTGCAAGGCCTGAACACTTTTTTCAGATCTTCTATGGCAGGTGTAAGAGAGGAGGGAGATTGCAGATATTCCTTCTCTTGTTAAGTTTGACCACATTTTCCTCCTCTTTTGTGAATAAGAATTCTTGAAAGATTAGAGTGTGTGTGTATATACATACATATATAAATTAGATTGCTCTTCTGTTGTTGCTGCTTTGGCATATTGTTGCACGCTTCTCAATCTGTTGGGATGGCCAAGCAGTTTTCTACTGGCATCTTGAAGAGAATGCCTGAAGGTGTTCTTGTTAGCTGCAGGATGGGTGTGCATAGGCTTGTAGGTACTCTTGAAATGTTTATACCCAGGTTTCTATCACTGAGCACTTTTCCAAGGGAGTTTTAAGGCCATGTGCATCAGTGGGACTTACTAACAATACCTGTGATTTCATAATGTGCATCAGGTGCACTTTTACACTGTTGCAAAGTGTAACAGAAAATGCAAAAGGTACAAAAACAAACAAACAAACAAAAAAAAACCAAAAAACAAACAGTATTTCTTTCCCCTTCCTCCTGAGATTTGCCAAATGCTTTCTGCTGTATTGTCACACGGAGGATATGCTGGTTTTAGTTAAAAATCTTTTTTCAACAAGTGTGAATGTTTCCACAGAACCATTGATTTTATGTGTTTGTTGGTAGCATTGCTTTAATGCTGCTGGTGATTGCAGATTTCCTAATGATATGGAATAGTCTTAAACATCTGATCCTACAGGGATCCTTTATTTTTCTTAGACAGCCAAATGGGTTAAGTGCACTTCATTAATTGCACGGAATACACACTTTGTTTGAAAGCTGAAATTTGATGATAGGTGCTCCAACAGAAATGCAAAGCATTGTAATGCTGATTAGCAGCAAAGCATGAGATTCTGATCTGTTTTCTCCGTCTTGTCAGCTGCATCTTCTGGATGGATCAAGTCTCTCTTATTGCTGTACGTAGAGCAATTTATTCTTTCTTTTTGTCAGGGCCGAGCTGCTGTTAATATTTTTGTCTTTGTTTTTGAAGTCTTCATAATGCTAGTGCCTTCTTGATGTGATTGCCCAGACAGACAAGGGAATTGACAAGATTCATCTGGGATTGCATAAAACACAATGATTTTGTATTGCTGAGGGTTACATGCATTATACGCGACTGCTTTTAGCTATTGTTGTTAATAGGACCTGTTCATGCTTAGGAGGTATCTCCTCCCTGAGCCCTCCTTGCCAGCTCTCAGGGAAGCCTCTGCACGACCATTTTTTGTGGGCAGCTTGTTGAACTGTTGATGTATCACGTGATTGGGAGGGAACCTGTCGTGGCAGTGACCTGACTCTTGAAGTTCGGCGGAGAACGCTCGCTTTGCAGAGCTTCTGCAGAATGTACCCTTGATATCATCGTAAGTTTTGTGATAACTTCAGTAAGCAAAAGCCTCAGTTTCTAATATGAGAATTCTAGCAGGCTCCAGTTTGAAATGCTATGAAAGACTTTCAGGTTTATGGGTTTGAATGTGATGCTTGGTAGAAAGGATGCAGCTAGATGTTTTAAGATAGGTTATCCTTGGGACTGGCTACATACATCTTGCTGGTAGTGACAAGGAAGTAAAGCTAGTTAAAAGTATTTAGAGCTAGTGCTGGGTGACAGCACTGGCACAGGCTACCCAGGGGCTGTGGGCTCTCCTCCTTGGAGATCTTCAGAAGCAGCCTGCCCATGGGCCTGGGTACCTGCTTTGGTGTCCCTCCTGGAGCTGAGGCTGAGCTAGAGGGACCTGGAGGTCTCTGCCAGCCTCAGCCATGCTGAGCTTCTGTGAGCCATGTAGCTGATTTTTCTGTGTGCTTGGTTGAGATACTGCTGTTGACAAACCTAATGAAAGTTTTGAAGTTTGTTCCTAGCAGCAGACCTTAAACAAGCTCTAGGGCAATTAGCAGTGCTGTTACTAATTATCATCTTCTTTTATCGTGTGGCTTCCTCTATCTCATCAGACTTCCTGCTTATTTCACTTCTGTTTGTAGGTTCCGTTTACTACAGGATAGCTAGAAGTGAAGCAGAATTGAACATGTTGAATGTTCCTCTTAAATGATAGCTTTTTTTTCCCATTACTCAGTTCATGGATATTCCCCAAAGTACCATTCCCTTTAACAATAGGTGAAACAGATGTTAAGCAACAGGTTGTGTTCACTTGCTCTTCCTCTGGAAAACACCCTGTTTAACCTGTTCCTTGTCACCTTTTCTATGGTTTCCTCTGGTCTCCCCTATAGCTACCACCTTAGTAGTAAGACAGGGATATAAACTGTGATTTAAAGCTCTTGTTGTAACCGTGATGCAGGCTGAAACACAGAGACACGTATTTTGGGCTTCTCCTGGAGGTAGGAAGTGTCACAGTTTGATGCAGTGTGAGTATATTTCTGTCAGAGTCAGGAGAAGATGAAACACTGGCTATGGTGGCAGCTGCTGTTCCCATGAAAGGTGAGCTGAAGTGGGAATTGGCCGCTCATTTCTCTTTGTGGCATTGCCAGCTTATGTCGGCCTTTCATAACACCTGTAAATCATTTCTGTGGCCACACAGTGAACTGAATGAGAACGTGGTCCAGGCATTAAAGAAATAAAAACTAGCAGAAAACACCCAAACAAGTCACTTTTTAAAAGTTATTCTGAAACTTGAGTAATTCCTTCTTTACAGTGGATGAGTGAACTAGCTCATAAATGATCAGGGAGAGAACTGCTGAAGATAAGGCTGCTGCTGAGACCTTTACAGCTGTGCTTAGCTGGGGTGCCTGAGCAGATCCTGTATCTTACCTGAATGCTTCATTTGTCTTATACTGCAGTTAAATATGTGCAGTGATCGTACTTGATTTCCCTAACAATTCAGTTAACATCAAGGCCAACAATAGTTTGTTTCTGCATATTTAGATAGAAGGCTATATTTCATCTTCATGCCTGGAAGCAGGAAATATAATCATGCAACTTTTTGAACTACAAGGGTAAGACAGTAAATGTGTATGTAGTTATTTAGAGTAGACTGATTGCTAGAACAATCAAATTCACGAAATATAAACAGAGCTCTTTAAAAGGCAAGCCATGAGAAATAAATGACGTGGGCTTAATAGGCAAAATCTGGCGTAACAAAATACGATTCTTTATCAGCAGGGCAGAGAGATTACATCATTGTTTATGGGCTTCTTGCTGTAGATTAAACAATACAATAACTGGAATGTGTTTAAAACAATCTATTAGATGTGTATTATACTTAAGTTTACTATGGGAGATTTAGAAAAATAGTGCATTCTTTTAAGGATGACTTTTACATTGCTTATATAACAACTAAACAGATACAAAATTTATCACAGAAAAATTTTCTTTTCAACCCTCTGAGTTGTTCATCATGCAGTATTAAATCTTTCAGGGGATTTTGCTCTGCTCTCTGAAACATTTGAGAATTGCCTATTTAGATCATTGCTAAAGGCAAAGATTTGAGCTGACTGGAGCTTCATCAGGGATGTCATAATGATCACACTAAATGAAATCTTTTCATGCTGCTAAAACCAAGGAGAAAGTAATTCTGAAGCTTGGTATGAGCTGAGTCTATTCATGTGGCTAATAGATATAAATGAAATAATTGTTCTGATCCTCCATCTGCAAAGGAAGAAAATGGTGTGTGCTGTTGCCTTTGCAGGATCTTTAGCTCTGTGTGGCAAATAGTTGTGTAGGAACAGCTAATTCTGCTCTAGGACAGCAGAATGAAGTGGGATGGCCTTGCTGACGTGCTCCAGTCTCTGTTTTCTGTGAAACTAAGGGGGAAGAAGGTTTGCTACAGAGCAATATCTTTGTGTATGTGGTCCACTCCAGCCTTGTTAGTGCTATAGCCTTCAAGATACCATGGTCTTTGATTTTTTTTAAATATTTTTTTGAATAAACATTACCTTGCTAACATGGAGAGAAGACTGAGTCGAATACTGATAGATCAAGCTCAGCCATATAAAAGCTGTAATTAAAAAAAGAACAAATTCTTTTTGCCTCAGTCACCCAACTTTTTTTCCTCATGTATCCTATTTCTTAAAGGTTTTGTAATATATTCTTGAGCCATTGTTGGGATGGAAAGATAGAAGAACACTGTGAGTAGTGGTGATTAGAACCAGTATGAAAGAAAAGTTCTTGACCAAGGCAGACTGACTTTATATTTTACTTCTTAGTTAAGGCTTAGTTAAGGGTGGAGAATACTTGAGATCAATGACTGAAATGTACTTATTCTTAAGCCAAAAAGACTACATGGGATCTGAATTAGTATCATGAATATAGTCTGTGATTTGTAGTTTAAGCAGCATTTAAAATGTGCCAAGTATTGCTCCCAAATGTTTGTATTTGAAGTGCATCTTCAGGTAATTTTGATATGTAGACTGATAGTCTGCACAGGTGTATGAAAACATCAGGACAGGAAAAAGTCCACAGCAAACTGATTTCAATAAGTATTGGCATGAATCAAGGAAGTCCTGAATTTTCAGTGAAAATCTTTGTGAGGCAACATGGTACATTGTGAGAATGGGGTAACTGTCACCATTCTGTTAATAACAGTAACATGCCTCAAAGGAAGAATAGGGATCATAAAATGAGTGATGCAGCTCTGACTAATACATGAAATGTATTGCTTGTACCCAGGCAGGTCGTCGTCATGTTTTACATCCTAAATGCTGAAGTTTCTGGGAGCAGACTTCTTGACACATGGGTGGTGTTAGGTAATGAGTGCAGAGTGCTTTGCTCTGCTTATAAGGTTGAACACAGCAGCAAGTATTTGATCCAGGCAATCATTTTTTTCTAGAATATTTTCTGTTTTGCTTCTAGTGAATTTTTACATCTCTGATCATTTAATGATGTCATCAAGAACAATTTTTGTTCTGTGTAGATTACCTGTTTACATTTTAAAAAAATATTGCTTTTTTTACTGTTAAGGAAGATACTTTTAAAATGTGCTCATACCTTGTTGAATTTTAATGGAAAAAATAGATTTTCAGACATCTAAAGACAACTGAATAAAACTTGAGTGGCTCATTTCAGTGGGCCAGTTTGTTGGAGTCGCTGTTAATACGTAAAATATTTTTTCCATTTAAAATTTTGTCTCCTGCCTAATTCTAAAGCTTTTAAAATTTCAATCTAATTAGTAGGCTAATCTGTATTGCTGAGCATTGAGTTGGTACATCACGAGTTTATTCAGAACCCTTCAGTCAGGAAAAAAGGTTTCAGTATTGGCTCATCTGTGGCATTTTTAAAGTGTTTTTAATTTTTTTTATTGGCTACATTTATCTTGTAAGAATTTTTCTGAGCTGTCATAATCCTTGATGGCAGACTGCAGCTGAAGGGTTTTCTGGTTGGTATGTCAGGTGGCAGCCTGTGAGCAGAAATGCTCGATGAAATCAAAGAACAGTTTGTAGGTTTAAAAAATAAAAAAATAAAAAAAATAAAAAAATAAAAAGAAACCAGGCAAGTGGTTCCTTCCAAAAATTAAATTTATTTCAGAACTGTACCCAAGCACTACTGACATGAGAGAAGAGGAAACTCATTGAGATGAGTTACTTGATTGCCTTGACAGAGCAGTCTGCAAACCACAGCTAGTGCTGCTTCACTGAAGCGGCTGCTTTAAAAAGTAAAGGCTTTCTAGGGCAGGTTTTTCTTCAACAATCTCAGTCACTGATCCAGTTTAAAACTCTTTCCAGGGTTTTGGCCTGTCGTGTGCAAAGTCAGTGGGGTAGCAGAGAACTGAGGGGGGAGAGGAGGGACCTGGTGAAGTGGCTTTGTGTCTGGAGAAGCTGTGAGCAACCACAGCTTGGAGGCCTGGAAGCACTCGCTCTCTAGGTTTGAAGTAGGAGTTACCTGCCATGGTCATGAAGGAAAGTCAGGAGGAGATTTCTTAGGGTAATGCTGCTTTTCTCACAAAGAGATAGAAAATGTAAAGAGTGAGATTCATCTGGTGGCCCTCCTAATCTGTCCTCCTACCTCTTAGTTATCTTGAGTGTTAAGTTGCTGTTGATGTCTTTGCAGTAGTGTGCTGTGGTTCATTCTTAAAATGGACAGCGTGCATCAAAATTCAGAGCACCTGCTGATTTTCCTTACATTAGCACTCTTCACGTTCTGATCTGTTAAGACCTGTTAACACCTCTCTGAGGTTGTGATGTATGCTATTTCAGTTGGATTTCTTAGATTCTGAAACAACACAGCCATCAAAACAGTATTTGTTGTAATGGCTTGTTTCCTTCCTGAAGTAAATTGCCTGATGAAGTGGGGAACTTGGGATATGTTGGAAGCTGACAAGACCAAACCTATTTCATTTCAATTTATTAAAATGTGAATTGAAAATTCTTGCCAAACAAACTGTGAGCAACTTTTTCAGTTATATGATTCTGTTTATCCTTTCTTGTCTTTCACTTCTCTGTCATGTAAAACAATTGCATTTTTAAAGTGTTATCTTGTTCAGTTCTTGTGTTGCTCAGTTGTCCTGCCCAGGTACAAGTTAAAGCTACTTTAGATTACATACCTAGTAAGTTCTAATACAGTCATCTGCAGCACTGCTGGCCTTTTTTGAAAAAATGAATAGCTTTCTTTTTTGGGTTTGTATGCAAGCAAGGCCATCTGGCTCTGTCCCAAGCAAACATCCTGAGGTTTAATTTCAACATTGGAGTTCATTCAGCCTCCAGAACTATTCAGATGTTTGTCTGCATTTCCTTTAGTTTTCTGCATTCCCACTGTTGTGTTGCATATTGATTCAGATGAATACTTAATGGTTTTTAAATTTTTATTTATACAGCTGGCACAGTAGAGGTAATTTTGAAGTAATGGTCTTTCTGCAAATTTCTGGAGACTCTTAAGTGTTTTGTTTTGTTTTTTTTTTCAGAGGGAGGAGTTAGATGGCTTTGGGAATTTTTGTTGTGAAAGCTTCAGTATCACGTAATTGGTTTTCTGATGACTTTTCAACCCATTTAGTAGCAACATTATGAATTACCATGTCTGTTTTAGTACAAGTAGGTAGAAAATATGGTAAAATATGTTAGAATTTTACTCACCTCATTTTGTTGCCATTCTTTCCTACTCTAAAAAAAGAGAGTAGAATATTTTTGTATGCTTGGAGGTTATTATGTAAATCTTTATGATGTATAGTGTGTATACATAAACTTTAGAGACTTCAAACAAATTCTGAGTACGCGAACATGTATTTGGATTTAGCTGAACAGTTGGACATGGTTGGAATCTGTTGTATTCTTCTAATCCTGTTGCCAAGAAAAGTCAAGGATATTTAAGTCTGATCCTTTTGTCAATGTTAAATCCTGTGCTTTTTATCTATTTTGCATGAAGTTAGGACTTCAGGGATAGTATGGAGTTCCCCTCACTGGTGAGAAGGAGCACTTGTGTTGTTTTGCTTTCTGTGACGCTGGCCCTCATGCTGAGATTGGCTAGAATACCATTTGTTCTGCCCCATCACAATGAAGAAACATCATATAGGTGTTCTTTGCACATGGTTGAATATTTGTAATTGTTTCATGCAGAGAAGATGCTGACTGTTAGAGGCATAAACTCTGTTTATTCCATTATGTAGGTGATGTACAGGCCTTGGCAAGCCATGATTTACCGACAACTACCGTGACGACTGGCAATAATAACAAGCCTGAGCACCTGGAGTATGTTGCCTTTGTATTGGTGCCTGTTTTCTTCATCATGGGTCTCTTGGGGATCCTCATCTGTCACGTCCTTAAGAAAAAAGGGTATCGTTGTACAACAGAGGCTGAAGAAGTAGAGGAAGAGGAGAAGCCTGATGAAAAAATAGGTAATCAAAGCGTCTAAAAAAATATTTCTACTTATTTATAAAAATTGCAGCCAATATGGAGTTAACTTTTTGTGAGACTTCTATCATTCTTCTGTCTAGATAAGTTATCATACAATATTAAGAGAAGTATTTTTCATTACCGTTATGTCTGTTGGTTTTTGGTCTTTGCTAGTGAAAGCTTTGCCAGTCTTCCAACTTCCCACGAGTCCTTTAGAACAGATTAAGAGTTTATGGAGGGATCAACGTATCCAGGATATTTCTGACTGTGTACTGAAGTCACCAGATCTCCTTTGTGCATTCCATCTGCTGCTGAGAGAAAGTATTGGACATCAGGGAGTGGTGAAAAGCTGCTGTTTAGACTTAAGGCCTTAAGATTTATGTTTAGCAACTCAAGTTTTATTTGTATTGTGTTGTCTTTCTCATCTCCCTTCTCAATATAAAACTGAGCCTTTGGGTGGATATTCTCGTCTATGTAATGCATGCTGCTTATATATATTTTTTTCTTAAAGATACTTCTGTTTTTCTGTTTGTACTCTTGTTTTGTGATTCCTTATTCCTGTTTTCCCCTGCTCTCTTTTTCACCCCAGAGAAGAATGCTATATGCGGCATTTGGCTTGGCAAATAGAAAAGTCAAGTCACTTGTAAATGCTTCAGGCCTCTTCCTTTCTCCAAAAAGATTGATAGCATCTTCACAGGTTCATAATAAGTGCAAATTACAGTGCCTCTGTGGTAACAGTAGAGTCATGTGCTGCAGTAATGATCTGTCATTGTGTTCTTAAGCAATCACTGCCCATGGCATGTACTCAAGCTGTGTGTCTGTTTAATCTGCTGGTTCGAGGGAGGAGTAACAGCAAGGTGAGTGGCAGTGAGAGGGGGCAGCTTCCAGGTCTTCTGAGGAAACAGGTGTGTAAGCTGCTTTGCAAAGTTGTAGGCATTGGGGTGAAGAAGATGAAAGGTGGGGTGAAGAAAGAAGGAAGCCCCAAATTTACTACTTGGGGGAAAATTTAAGGCCTAACCTATCAAACTTGCCTCCATCTTCTGATTACTTATTTTTCATTTTAAAGATAGCCCTAATGTCTTTTAAGGAAGCTGTGCTTTTTATTTATTTATTTATTTTGCCCCCCAGTCTTTGTGTTTTGAGATTATTCTGGGGAAACTTCCAGCACTGGCAACGAGTGAAGTCAGCTACCGAAGTACCAAGGTTCTCAGTTGTATATATGACCAGAGGAGCGAGGAATTTAAGAATACTAAATGTATAAAATTAAAAAACAAAACAAAACACAAAAACACACACCTTGCAGTTGTAAGATTAAACTGAATCCTTTTTATTCTAGAAGCTGATAATCCCTATTTTAAAATATTAGCTTGAGGTGGCTCCATTTGTTGTTTTCCTCTTTACGTTTAGGATTAGAAATACTGCTTTCTTTTGTATCTCCTTTTCTAACTAGCTATAAATAGAATTCTGATGCATGTTCATGAAAATATTGAACTTCTTCAAGCCTTAAAGAATGTTAGAGCTGATGTGTAGATTCTATAAACTTACTTTTCTGGGCTTTCTTGAATAAAGACCAAAAACTCTCATCTGTTTTCTCTCCAAAGTGACAGTAAATCTTGCCATTTTCCTTCTGGTACGTCTTCAAGTGTTTTTTTTTTCTTTCATTCTTACTTTTTTTTGGAGGTGGGTGGTTTAGTGTAGATTATTTTTTGAAGTATCTTCTTTTTTTTTTGTTCTTTTGAAAGGCCAAAATATTGACAAAATATTTATTTCGTTGCACAGAAATGAATGAAACTGCGCATGAGAATAGTGACACTGTAGGACAAATTATTAACTACATTATGAAAAATGAAGGTACAGTATGGTGAAATTGAAGTTATGAGCCTTTGTGGTGGTGTCTGATATATATATGTGTGTGTGTGTATTTGTAAATATTCAGAAGTATGGCATGTTCGTATGTTTACATTTAATAGCTGTTTTGTATGTGTATTCTTTGAGATTGCCTGCAGGAGGCATTAATCCTAAGCAAAGTGGAGATATTTTTTTGATTATCTGAAAATAATTCTGTATTGTAAGCTTGATTCATGCATTTCTTGATCTTCTGTTAACTGTTGGGGCATTTGATTTTTTTTTTTTTTTTCTCTTTTAAAATATTTTTGCTTGTTTTTCAAAGAAAAGCTTAAGCTTGTTTTCTTAATGGCAACATTTAAAGCATGTGAATTCTCATGTTTTGACCATATTGAACATTTTGTCTTGTAATAATTCCCATGGCTGTTGTCAGATGAAAGATTTGAGCACAACTGAGAGAACAGAGTAGACTAGCTCTGACTTGGGAATTCAGACATGATATCTTTCTGCGCTGTCTGCACAAAGTAAATGGTAAAATGGATACTTTTAGAAAAAATGTAAAACTATGCATAAGTGACCTGAAAAGCGCTTGGTTAGGTCAGAAGATTTTTACCAGTCAAAGCAACCTTTGGAGGAAGGAGGAGACTGCATGTTTTTATAGTATAAGAAACTCCAGCCTGTTAATTTTACATTTGTATAAATTCAAGTTCTCCTAAGCATTGAGTTTGCCTTGAGTTACTTCTGAAAGAAGCCGACATCTCAGGAGAGGTTTCTTTTTGTTGCTGGTTTCTTCTTTTCCCTTAATGACTGCTAGTGCTTAGTGCTAGTGTGTTTTTCATCACGGTTGGGTTTTGTTTTTTGGTGCCTTTTCTCTTAAATTGCTCTATAAGTATGAGGTGATGATAGTTGTGTGATCAAATGAATGTTTTTAAAATTTTCAGTGATCCTGTGTAGGAGTGCTGTGCAGATGGCTGCTATGTAGCTTGCAGTGGGGTGAAGCTTCGTTTGCAACATGAACAATAATTTTAATAGCTTATGTTAAGAAAATCCCATAGAGTTATGTAAACATTTTTGCAGTAGTCTCTCTCATGCCTTTTGGTGATACAGATAATGCAGCTATCTTTCTTCTAGATGGAAGTTCTTTTAGCACCTTCAGTTTTGTTGTTTGTTTTTCTAAAGTTAGAGCTGTGCATTTTTGAAGAATTCTATTTATTCTCATTACAGCAAATGCTGATGTGTTAAAGGCCATGGTAGCAGATAGCAGTGTCTTTGAACCCGAAAGGTAATTGCTCAACTTTTTAATGTGTGTTTCCTGAGGCAACTAAAAATGTACCCTTTCAAAGGGTTTTATTTCCTGTGCACTTTGAAGACTACATCACTTCCTTGAGTTGTCAGCCAAGAGGATTATAGCTTGATTTCCTTGTTGTGTCTTTTAGTTCACTACATTTTAGCGTAAGCCCCATGATAATATCTTGCTCTTCTGGTTATATGTTCTAGGCCTGTCAAAATGATTTATTGCTTTCTCGAGCTAAAGATTTACAGAGGCTGCAAATATTTGTTTACTTAGGATGCAATTACTTCCAAGTTGGTTTAATCAAAACTTGGTGATTTGAAAGAGCAAAGGCAGTGCTTGTTTCATTTATATGGTTGCTAACTTTGAATAGTGTCTCTTTCAATGTTTTACTCTTTTTGCATTATAAATTTGGTAACGTACATTGGCTGGCCTACCTCTTAGGCTTCTTTCCACTGCACACCTATTTGAAACTTCACATAGGGAAAGTAGTCTGCCCCTTAAATGGCAAAATACTATTTAATTAAACATGTTTATGTCTGTATCTAAGTACCTTTAAACTGTATTTATATTACTGCATTCTTCTTATGTAATCCTATATTCCTATTCAAGGCAGAGAAAATGGATATTGAAGTAATGAAGTAGGAGTGTATAGTTTTAGCAAAACAAATAATGTGCAACCATAGGAAACTATTTTAATGATGCGAGGCTTGGTTATTGAAGAAACTCATTTCAAATCTAACAAAATGAACTCTTGAACATAAAGATGATTTTGGAGCTATTTTTTCCTGGTGCGTCACAAATATTTGGTAGGATTTTAACTCAAACATCTTGTGTAGGTATGTGTACTTTGAGAGTTTGACCACTGTTTCAGTGAATTAAAATAGAAAAATGGGAGGGGACTGTGGTCTTATGAGACTACCAAAAGATGTGATGATTTTTTTTCTTGTATTACTTCTGACAAATGGTCCTGAAGCTTTAGTAGCTTGAGTGCAAATCCCTTGCACTTATTTCCGTGTTCAGTCCACTGTGAAACACTTCCTAGTGATAGAAATAAACACAGTGAAATCTGAACTTCTGCTATTTAAAGTCATTTCTTCTTGTCTTCACTTCAAACATGTTAAATGGATTTTATTTCCTTTTTAAGTTTCTTTAATTTGTTTGAAGTCCACTAAATGCCTCCTGACAATGTATTTGTTCTGAAAATAAACATCTAAATAGCTCCAGTCTTTCATTGGCAAACTTTATTTCTTTGTTCTCCTTTGGAGTTTCTCTGGTTTGTTAGAATTTTTCTAGAAATAGCATTCCTAAAACTGGATGAAACATTCCAGCTAAGGCATGATTAAAGCTTAATAATGTGACTTTATTAGGTTGTTATTTCCATGGTGAGAAAAAATTCTTACTTTAACGCACTTACATCCTAATTCTAATTCATGTTCAGCTTGTGTTTTTCTACCTTCTTTTTCTGAGGAGTGAGTATCTGGCTAACTGCTTCTGTCTTTTTAATGTTTATTTCTGCTAAAGCACTGAAATCTGTGCTGTCCCTACTGTGATACATCCAGTATTCTTCATAAGATTTCTCAGTGTGTGTCTTTCTCACACACACACTTTCTTCCTGTCATCCTCATTTCTTTGCTTGTACTCTACAGATAGTGTAGGTAACCCCAAAATTCACAAATAGTTTAGATGTTTTTCTCTTCCATTATTTAAAGAACTATTTAAAATGGAATATGATCTGGACCAGAATGACTGCATTGAAAATGCCCTTTCAGTTTTACATCTGATAAACAACTTTCTGGTATGCCCTTTTTCAGGAATGCTCTGTCTTAAGTTGTCGTCATTTTACCCGTAACGCACTGAACTTTGTCTTGCTTTATGAGAATATGTTGCCTGACTGTGGAGTAATGCTGAAATCCAAAAAAGTCTTTGCTTTTTGTCTGTCCTGCCTGTTTTTCTGTTTTAGAAGAAATTAAGATTAATTTTGTGGGTTGCTCTCAATAGGTGTATTTTGTTCATTGTAATGCTTTTTATTTTTTCATGGGTCCTTTAGAAAGCAGCTTTCTGAAGCTTTGGCTGGATGGTATGTTAATCCCGTTTCATGACAGACATTTAGTTTTGCATCAACACAATGTTGTGACTGTGTCTTTCTGTGAGTTCTTAAAAATAATGGAACAAGTCCATCTAAACTATTTTTCTGAATTTTAACCTGATTTTTTTTTCATTTCCTTGTACTTTCTGTCAGTTACGTTAACTACGTGAGTGCAGATCGATTCATTCATGAAGTGATTTTTGAACTGTGGAAACATGGTATTAGAGGGAACATTAATTCCTGTATCCCCACGAATAAACTATCCTTCAGAAAAGTAGTTTTTCACTAGACGCAACAGAAGGCTTTACTTTACTCTTTATTTTCCTTCTAAGAAACAAGATTTAATAGTACTCTGTTCATTTCCTTTATACTTCCTCTAGCCCCGTGTCTCCTAACACTCCTGGGAGTCCAACAAGTCCAGGGTCTCCTTTGTCACCTGGTGCTGCTCCACTTAAACACAGCTGCAAAGGCCATCACTTACATACTGTTGGAGGAGTAATAGAGAAAGATGTTTGTTCTCGCTGTAGCCACAAACGATGGCATCATATAAAACCAGCTCACAAATCCAAAGAGCACAGAAGAAGTCGCCTTGGAGAAGTTACAGTACTTTCTGTGGGAAGGTAAGGTCTAATGCCACTTCATTGTATCCTTTTCTTAGAGACACTATAGTGGCCGATCAGTTAATGGGATCAGCTACCCATTAACTTTACTCATTTCTAGAACTAGTGATTATTTTTTTTTTTTAAATCCCATTACTAGTAAACTAAATTTATTTCTAGAGGAAGTGAACAAGACTGTTCTAGAACCCTGTGAATGAGTAGGCATCCGCTGTGGCTGCAAATCCAAAGCTGTAGTTCTGATGACACAGTCTAAATGTAATAAAAATTGCACGTGAATAAATTCCTTTTTTTTTTTAATTTGTTATTTCTGGATTAAGTGTGAGGTATAGAAATAACTTCATTATGCTTTCAGTTGTTTTTAATTCCCTTCTTACACAGTAGTTGTCTTAGAAAAATTACTTGTCTAGTAGCATGGAATCTGTGGACAGTCAGGGACCAAGTCCCTGAGAAAGTGTGATTCAGCAGCAAGGAATGTTTAAGGCCTTCATGGGTAATAAAAAGGAAGATTGCTCTGAAGTGAACGTGGGTCTGTGTGGGTGTGTGCTCTAACTTCATGGTCTTGGGATTCTCCTGTTTTTAAATGCACACATATCCATATCCTGGCTATACAGAATGATCTTGGTAATATCTGGGGACATGCAACTGAATCTCACTTTTGGTCACCTCAGGTTTAGAGTCACGAAAGTGGAGCACAAATCTAATTCCAAAGAACGGAAAAGCTTGATGTCTGTTACTGGGGTGGAGGGCCTCAATGGTGACATTCCTGCCACACCTGTGAAACAGGAAGCAAAAGAAGCACCTGCCACACCTGTGAAAGAGGGGACGCAAGAGAGGAGAAGCTCAGAGTGAACTGCAGGTATGGCACTGGGAAGGAACCAGTGAAAGTGAAAGCTGGGAAATAGACTGAGGCAACCAGTAAGGAGAAAAAACGCTGTGAATGTATCTATTCTGTGTGAAAACTCATCAGGCAATTTTGAAAGTTTCTATAAAAGTCTGCAGAAATCATATTTGATCTTTCAGTTAATGATTAAATTGGAAAAGCCTAAAATATACTCCGATTTTTTTTTTTAATCTAATTTTTTATTTAGACCTTAAAATTTCAGCAGATGTAGAAATAAAAGCTACTTCATTAAGGTAGCATCATCATCCAAGATATGCATATAATTTTTCCACAGTAAATGGACAGTTGAGTTCTTAGTGGCAATGTGCTGGATTCCCAAAAGAAACAAGTACTGCTGACTGCTTATTCACTGGAATAACTGCAATGCTTCTTTGTTGTTCTCACTGATACTGCATATCAGCTGGCTGCTTATTGGATACTTCTCTGATAGATCAGGGAGATAAAAGAGTGTTAAACTAAGAAGAACGTATTTATCTGGATGCTGTCTCACAAGTATTTTTTTCTTTATCTGAATGAAATAGGAAATAACCTCTTCCCTCACTAGCTGCATCTGTATGTTCATGTGCAGCTGGATTGGGCATGAAGGTCTGTGGTCTTTTTTTCCAATATTTCGAATGGGAGATCAGACTTAGAAATTCATTCTTTGACTTATGAGAAGATAATTTGTCTTCTAACATGAAAAATAGCAAGAAAAGGGCATATATATGAAAATAGCTTGTTCCAGTGCACTTATGATGAAAACAAACTTTTCCAATCACCTGGAAATGCTTTATATCTGTTTTATAATTTGTCCTTTCTCAAATCAATGAAAGCTGTTCCTTTTAAGTACCTAAACATTGTTCTTTAAGTTTGAACTATTACTGCTTCAATCTAAAAATAAGCTGCTCTTTAGAGAGAGAATAGTATTGTTATTATTAAAAAAAAAAAAAAAAAAAAAAAAAAAGTGTCTATCTTTGGTTTTTTACTGTAGAACCTCCCTTAGGATTTGAGATACTGCTCTTTTTGAAAACAAATATTGTAATAGCAGAGAAATGACTCTGGGGAATCACTTGTAATGGTATCTCCAGTCCAGCAAAACTATTTTCTAAACTTGGGAAACTAGCCAGGTCTGTTTGCTCTGCACTATGAGGGGAAAAAAAAAATAAAAATAAAAAACCCACAACCAAAAAAACTCAGCTTTTGCCTGAGCACTTAACATTCTGTTCTCTAGTGTGTTTCTACATGAGTATTTCTCTGCCGCTGTGAAAAGCTGTTCATAAGTAAGCAGATACTAAGTTAGACTTCCGTTTCAATTACTTGTTTCAGACTTACAATAACGTATTATAGCTTAATTTACTGACATTGGGTGGATAAACAATGTTTAAGACTTCTGTGCCTGTAGCTCATAAATGTATGATTAAAAAGCACGTTGTTTTGGAGAACATGGCTCAGATCTTCCAGCGTAGAGGAAGAAGGGAGGCACAAATGTGCATGTAAGTGCTGCCAGAAAAAGGTTTGTTCCAGCTTTTTGGAGGCACTAGATTGGTCCTTGTGCATTAAACGGCCGTAACTGAGATCTGTGTGAGATGAAATCTCTTGAGTTGAGCAGTATTTTCATGCTGCTGGTTGCTTGTGTTCATGGCTACTCTTGAGTTCAGTTTCGCTTCCCCTAAACTGACATATTCTTAGTATTTTCTTGAAATGAGCTCTGCAGTGTTTCAGCTTATCCTTCCATCTTGCTGCCTGCATCTTTTATACTTAGCATGTCTTCTGTCTATCTCCGAGGTTCATGATCTTGAGCGGATTCCATTTCATCATTTCAGTTTACTTGAAATATTTTTAGTGGCACATGAAAAAGAAGTAAATATGGAACAGATACTTAAAGTCAAGTATTTGAGTTAAGCTCTTGGAGTTCCTTGGCAAGCTACTGAGAAAACAAAAACTTAAGTTACTGCTGTGCTGCAGCTTTGTGATGTTTGCCATTTCTGGTGTCCCTTTCTAAGTTGTGTGTGCTTTACACTGATGTGATTTATTGGTCTGCTGGTGGTTTTGTCCATCCTTTTCATAATTACCAACTGAAGTTTTAACTTTTTTCATTTCTTATTCTAAGGCTTGTAATGCATAACCACCACATTAAGTAATTCATGCATTTTTTTTTCTATTTCAGAACATCTGTATTTAATTGACATGTTTATACTGTAACTAATTTTCTCCTGGACCTATCTGTAAAATTACTTTCTTGTTTTGCAGGTGGACCTTCTAGAAGAAGTTAGTCAACTAGCACTTTGGAGAAAACAGAGGACTCCCAAGAAATGCGTTCTTATTTAAGGAAGTGTGTTTATGGCACTGTAGCATTTTACAAACTTTGTGATGGTATCCATGCAAGGTTAAATACTTACTGATTTTTATTGGTGAAAAAAAATTAAGATTTACACATACACACTGTTGGGCAGTGTGGACCTCATACCAAAAGTTGAGCTTCATCTTCAAAATCAAAAATACAGACATTTTTTTGGACAGGGAAGGTAAAAATTCCAGATAATTTTTTTCTTCATACTTTACCCCTCTAGTCCATCTGGATTTTTTAACTCTGTTCTTCCCTTCCAGAGCTCACAAATACTCACTGAAGATGAAAGTCAGACTACGGAAGATGAAAAATACTCTATTAATCTAAATTTTAGTAGCCAAGCAAACCACACAAGAAAATAAACGTTTTCAGTCAAATCTGCATGTGTGCAGACATGCAGAAGTATGTAAGCCTTTCTGACTCTGTGACAGGTAACTCACAGCACAGAATGGCTTAGCTATACGCAAGTGTTAAATGATACTGTTGTCCTTATTCCCATTACCTTAATAACTATTTAATATTAGGCTAAAAAGTGTCTTCTTCTATGCTCTTGGTTGAGCTTTTGGAAAGGTCACTTTCATGAAGACCATTTGTTCTCCAATTTTCTTGTAACTCCTTAGTCATATTTGCAGTCGTATTGCCTAATGGCTTTGCCTTTCTCTTTTGTTTTTTACCCGCAGGTTCCTTATTAAGCTAAGGCAACATATTTGAACCACTAGATAAGGATATGGAATATTTGTCATTAAAAATTTATGGAGTATGTACTGAAGTACTTCAGAGTGGCTTCAGAGGGTAGCAGTTCTCACTGGCACCGAAATCTTAAGCCATTGTTTCACTGCCTTAATATTTTGAGTGTGATCTACTGCTTATTGCTTTATTTTGGTAAGGCAGGGGGAGGGGACATTTGCAATACTTCAGCAAATTTTGCTATGTGAAAGAAACTGAAAAATAACATATTCTCCAAGTGCCTAAGAATATAAGCTGTAGGGTAATACAACGTAGTAGAGATTATGCTATTTTCTGAGAACAATACATTAATTTAATCTAACCTATGAACTCTATAAAGATCAGTGCTTCTTTTGAAATTGATTTGTTTTACATTGCTTTCGATCCTTTTTGTCCAAATGTTCTGAACTGTGTTTTTCTTTCAGATCTGAGAATCTTCATCAGCTTATGTAATGTTAACAATGTGTACAAGTATTAAATTCATATTCATATTCATTTTTTTTTAACCATATTAGGTACTCCCGCATCTTGTCAGAGAACTTTGTTTGATGGTTGCTGGGAAGTATGTGCTGTGATTGCCTTCCTTGTATCAATTAGATATTGATAGATCCAATTATAGAACAGCTTGGGGTGGAAGGGGTCTTAAAGATCATCTAGTTCTGCATCTCCTGCCCTGGGCAGGTTTACTGCTTGCTAGGTCTGAACGCTTCTCAGAGACACCATATTTGGTTGGGGGGAGGAACAAACAAACAAAAACAACAACAACAACAACAACCAAACCCCAACAAAGATCCTGAAAAGAAATGATGGTTTATTGTGCCTTTTAGAATTGATGTTTTTAGAGAGAACTGCTCATTCTTGAGTACCTTAAATAACTCTGACCAGGACTGGTACTTGAGTGTTTAGCATCCTTGCTGTCATTAATTTAAGTCTGGTTTATAAAATCTCTTTGATATTTAACAAACTACGAAGCTCGCCTTATAGGCATACATTTGATAGATTCTTGATTTTATATATTTTTTTTCCTTCTTCAAACTTCACTTGAATTCAATAAAAAGCTATTTATTGTAGAAGAGTTTAATTAGTGTTGGTTATAGTAGTTAGCTTTCAATTTCCAGTAGATTGAGAGCTATGAGTATAAAATGTTATTGGAAAAAGGGAGTATTGGGCAAAGCCGAGCAGTTTTAAACAGTTTTCAGAAAGAAGATGTACAGTTACAGACTGTCTCAAAAAGCTTTAAAAAAAAAAAAAAGTTTTTAATTTGATGGTATTGTGTTTTAATACATAGTAAGCTAGTATTGCAAGGTAACATACTGAAATAATTCAAAAGAAGCTTGAACAAAAATGTCCTATTTTTTTACTTAATTTAAAAGTACTTCCTATTTTGATTCCATTTGAATTATGTAGATAAAATCAAAATGTGTTGGATATGTAAAACATTGTTTGCCTGTATAACTTACTTACATAAGGTATTTTAAGACCTGGTATGTGCAAGAACTGAATTTGTACATTGCTTCTTCAATAAGAAGATCTAGAAGTGGTGCCTGTTTTTACTGCCTTTAACACTACACTTTGCAGTTTTGTAGTGATATGGACATTGCCACATTAGTCAGCCTTTCTTAAATTTGCATATCGGATGTATTTTTAACAAAGTAGTTTATATACAACTTTTGTACTACCAAGCAGATAATAAAAGATTGATTCTTAAACTCGCTTGTGATTTCTTCAAACCTGCCTCGTTGTGTAGATCTTGACCATGACACATTCTGAGCTTCTAACGTGTAATGTTAAGCTCTTAGCCCTATGAGTTTTTGTTTGTGGAGGTTAGGCTGTTGTGTGATGTTCTTCCTTACTATTTTCTTGGCATATAATCTACTTGCTCTGTATTTATCTTGGAAAGAAGAAAATATAAGCTTTACTCTGAACTGGTATCTGACTGAAGACCTTTTGCCTTTAATTGCCCTTAATATCAGAGCTTTTAACTTTTTATTGTATGTGATGTTGAGCTTTTAGAAAATACGCAACATTCTCATTATTCTCAATTGTTTTTTGTAAGGTATGGAAAGAAAAAAATACAAATGACAGGAAGCTCTTTGCAGTTGCTTCCTCTGTGTCTCTCAGTGATATTACAATGCTTAATTTGTTACATTATGTTCTCACAGATGACTGCAGTCTGCAAATGGCATTACAATGAATTTTGCTGTATGAATAGGTGAAGGAAGCTCAAAGCAAGATGTTGTGGCTAGCTGAATGTAATTATCAGTGTACCATCCTGTTTGCAATTCTTCTGTTCATTATTTCAGTGTTTCCTAGCTGCATTGCACAAGGTCTGTTTTGAGATCTGGGCTCGTTGAGTTTTAAAAGTTTATATGCAGCAGTGGTTTGCAATCAGAACTAGGAAAAATAAAAAGAAAGAAAAACATTCTTCCAGGCCTCTGTTTTCTCAGAGAATTGTGACAGTGCTACTAGAAAATTAATGGAATTTGAGAACACATTTAGATTCTCATTTCCAGATACATTCTTTTCCTTTTCATCTACATAACAAAAAAACCATAGTGTGATATTCTGTGTGTTTTGTTTTTTCCTTTTGTGTGTTTTCTACACTCAGCTCCTTGACATTTCTACTGCTTGCAGTAACAATTTCAGGTTATATTTAATTGAAAACTAAGTACAAATTTGACCGTCATCAAGCTTTGAAAAGATAATTATAACAATTCTGTAATACATATACTTTTATTAGCTGTACATTGAATAAATAACAATTTCTGTTTTGAAGTTTGAGACATGTTGTAATTGAACTGGCATGAATCAGTCCTCAAAAGAAATGTGACTTTTTTTTTTACCAGAAGGAAATTGTTATTTCCCCCCAACACGCTGCTTTATTTTATTACGTGAGGCGTTATGCCAAAACTCCTTAGTCTACCTCATGTTGCTGTAGCAAAACAGATAAGGGAACTACTTCTGTTTACTAATACCTGATTTTATTGGTGAAAAGTACGTGTCCAATGCATCCTTGAAACATGGTAGACATGAAAGAGTTTTTCTCATTTCTGATTTTGTGACCAACACTTAGTTTAAAAGCATGCTGTAATGTACCTGGTGGCTCTTCACTCTTTTCTTTCTGAATTCTTTCTGTTACTCAAAAGTACAGAAATCCTGACAAAACTGAAACTTCATGATTCTTCTGCTGACAAGTGTTTGTGTCATAGGTGGAAAGATGCTTCATGCAGACTTTAAGATTGTAAAAACAAAAAATAGTACCAATGTGCCTTCCTTCTTGTTTCGAGTGTGAGGGTAGCTGTTGCATCTGTGCACTTTCTGTAGAAGTTAACCCAGGCTGTTCCCGTTGCGCTGGTGAATGTGTGGGCTCCCCTAGGCCTGCAGCCATCATGCTGGCAGACAGGAGGGGGAGGTGGGGGCCGTGCTGTGTGACAGGAAAAGTGTCAGAAAGTAGTGTTCTCCCCTCTGCCCCAATAAACTGAGCTTGTGCTTACTGCGTACTGATAGAAAATGATGTGGGAAACAGTTTATTCTAGCATGGTACTGCTGATGCCTCCCAGGATGGAATGTGGGCGTGTGCTTCTTCTAAGGAGTTACATTTCCTGAGTGTTTAATGGATGTTGAATGCTCCCACCTGTGCCCTGCAGGTGGCTCACAGTGCTAATCACCTTGTACCCATCTAAACCACTGTTACTGAGCAATTTGGAGCAGTTTGATCCTTCTTGCTAGGTATGTAATACTACTGCTAATAGCCAAAGACTGCGTTTATGCTTTCTTGTTTGTTTATTTGATGAACAAAGCATGTAGCTTGACTAGGTAAAAGTGAGCTTTGATTTTTGTACTGTTCTGTGAAGCCTTGTGTTTGACTAGGACTCTTGAGGACAGCTTTGAGTTAGGCCCAAAGTACTGTCTGTCTGTTACAGATGCTGGATATACTTTCCATCTGTTTCTTTATGGTTTTTGTTTTGATTGTTGTTTTGTTTTTTTTCCTCCCTCTACTTGTGGGGCACATATGATAAGGTACCACTGCTCTGTTTCCTACTGCAGTCTGACGTCACCTCTTGCTCTAGACAAGCTGCCCTGCTGCCCACGGGCGCCACCTGTGACACAGCATGCTTGATTTTGTAACTACCATTCTTACAGAGCTACAAGGCTCCCAGATAGACTAAGGACTGTGTTTGGTCATCTGGTGGAGAAAATTAATTAAAGAATGTGTCAGGCTGGAGCAAGGAGGGAAAACTCAGTGATGTGGGATGGGAGGAGCCCTTTGTCCTGGCTCAGAGAGAGAAAGAGGACAGAGAGCGCAGGCCTGCAGCGCTAGAAGATGGCAGGAGCATGTGAGGAGACGTAATGGTAAGGTGTGTGAGAACTGCACAGTGAGCAACTTCTGGGCTGTTCTGGAGCTCAGAGCATGGGCTGCCTTGTTTTGCTGTGAATTTGGGTTTGAAGCATCAAGTTATTTGTGCTGGGGATGGGCCTTAGTCCAGGGCTGACAGGAGCTTGTTTGTGGGAAGTGTTGGGCTGCCAGTCGGGCCTGCTTTGCCTTGGTCTCTGGCATCTGCAGTGTGGGACTGTTGTATCTTAACAGAAATAGCTCTTTTAAAATTATACCTCTGCAACTCCTTGTGACAGACTTGCAATGGCGTGAAGGTTTGCTACTATGCCATCCTGTACCCTAGAGCTGTATTGGCAAGTGGATTTTTCTATCAGTGTAGCTGCTCACTTCACACACTCAAGCCCTCTGATTTTTTTTCCTGTTTCCATTACTACCTGTCTTTTCCTTGCCTGAGAACAGGAAAGGGCAGAATCCCAAGTTTGAGAGAAGCTTATCTTGTTGTCCTAAAAGAAATAAGTAAATGTAGCCATCTAAATACTTATAGGAGTTTCAGACGCCTTCAGGGCTTCTGGCTGACAAAAAGTGAATTGGGAACCTCTGGTATAAGCAGTCCACGTGTGATCGGTCATTCCGTGATCACTTCTTTGTTGCTTTAAATATGCACTACTTTTGGTTCCTGCTTTCATCCCTCTACTCGGTGTGGATACATCGCTGTATGCCCAGTGAGGTGCCCAGGTAAGGTGGTATGATGTTTGCATGGAATAAGATAATATTTTGAAATTGTCTTAAAAGCATAGTAGAT